TGAGGTCAACATGGTAAAGGTCGCACTGCAGACCCAACATGGCGGCACGTTGAAATTCGAGTTTGTCGTAGTCGTCGTTTCTAATTCATCACAATGTGTAAAAAAGTAACCCGTACTAGTCGTAGAACTAAAAAAATATCGACTGCTACAATCAGCCGACGACTTCTCGGTCAGATGTCACTTGAAGAGACGCTGTGATTGGCTCAGATGATTGTCAATTAGAACACTCATTAACATAATTACCCGTTGAAAAATCGACGGGTTCCTGCAGTGTCGATAGAGGGCCATGCAGAGTAAACCAGTCGGGGTGATTTCGCAGTTACAAGGGATTTTGCGCTAACACCTCCATTTCGCAATTTATTTAATTTTATTTAAACTACAAAAACAAATTAATCGCCCCGACTGCGCCAGTCTACATTGTTCCTTGTGTTTTTGTTTTACATAGGGAAATATACGGTATATTTATATAGTATATAAAAAGGAAATATTTGCTACAATATATGGACACTCCTTTTTGTTACATCGCATGGACTTATATTTGTCATTTAAACAATTAGACAACTCAGATTCCGTCGGCAGACGAAAATATTTACACAACGCGTCTTAGTCGGCACCTTCGTGCCCAATGCTGTATTTCATACTTAGAAACTTGATTAACTGTTTCTGTACTCGTTTTAACTTGTAAATAGGACATTTAAAATCAGGTGAGAAAAGTAATCGAAACGATTACCCATATATATACAATATGCTTAAGAAAAAATGCAAAAATGTTTTTAAAACTCCAGCTTTAAAAGCACAATGGACAATGGCGTTGATATGCATAGTGAAGCTACGTTTTCTTCGTTAAGCATGTACCAAGATCATTGGCAGAGCTTACACTTTTCATGGACTGTCTACCAATTTTATATAAATGTGTGATTGACGTTTTTTAACACTGCACTACCTGGAGGTCTGTCTATTGATAACTATTCTTTTGGGCGGTGGTCGTAGTGCCGCGTCTTGTTCGATATGGGACTCATAGCGAGGATCATCGCACTTTATATGTAGGCGTGCATGTGTCAACAACCTAATATGCTTTAGCGAAACATGGCCGTCATTAGGCGAACTCAGAGTTTGTGATTCTAAATTAATTTAATTATGTATGTGAGTGTCTCATCTTTAAAATGAACTTATTTCACAAAACGCACAGAGCTTTGGCTATGAGCTAAACTTAAAACACGAAGAAATATATAATATATTATTATACCTCGTGGTCATGTCAGCCAATCAAATTCGCGCATTATATGTAGACATATTCCTGTGTTTACTTGCTGACATATTCGTATGTCTGATTTTGTAGCGATTTTGCGTGGTTTTTAGTCGCGTTTGCCATGAGTTTTGTTAACGTGTTCAGCTACGCGTTTCGAAACATTCGATGCGGTTGCGCAGTTCATTTCTCTTGCGCAGTTCATTTCTCTGAAGACTTCGAGTGAAGAAGTCTTTGCCGCGGGACAGTACCGCTGTTTTATTTTGCTACGTATTGTGTGTCTTGACAGTATATCTACATATTTTATATTTATTTTTTGAATGGTGGTGACATAATCGTATAGATGGGTGTGTTTATGAAAAATAATTCTTCGTCAGGCTAAAGCTGTTGAAATTGGGTTAATACAACCATGAAAGTAAAGATAAAACTCAATAATATTAAATCAACTTGTATATTTGAATGTATTCAGCTCTACGAGAGTGACCTGGAAACTAGATTGCCGTGATTGAGTGCCACAGTTTCTGTTTTTTTAAAGATTCATTCGCTATAATAATACAAATATTCACCCCAACTGAGATGGGCATACAGTTTTAGAAACCCTCAGGGTTCTTTGGATCGTCGCTAAAATTGTATGTCCACATTTGTTTGAGAGAACATTTGTATACTGTCATACGTTTACCTGTTGCATTGATACTAAATGGGCCATTGACCGGCGATGTAGATAACATCCATATCGACTCGCTAGGTGGATCCCACTCAACTATAAACACACTCCCAAGTACAGATTCGGATATAGTGATCGAGTCTGGCAAATTGGTTATTATCATACGTTCCAGTTCGTCTAAAATGTAGACAGTCACTGTAGCAGTTCTCACCGGATTTCCTGATATATCCGAAACTCTGATGAATAACTCGTAAACATTTGTCCCTGTTTCGTAGTCAAATCCGTGTAGATTCACGTTCTGAAGTTCTGCAAATGGTAGTTATGAATGAAAACACAACAAGGTTTAGTTACAAGATCGACCATCAATAACGTAACGTGGACTGGATTGACAAATGATGAGTTAGGTACTGGGCAAAAAGTACAGCGTAGGTCGGTGTTTTTTGAAATTCGCGTACTTAAAAATATATGACCATTCACAAACATTTGCATGGAATTTGCTGACCTTCCCTTCAAATGGTGCATGAAAAAGTGTGACCCTCCCACTTTCAAAGTATAAGGATAGTACATTATTAAAACTATTTATACATACTAATTGATGTTCTACTACACAGCTATGAACATTTGCACTTAAATCAGTTAGCCCAGCTCTCATTGAGAAGAGAGCAATGTATGATACTGTATATGTACCACATTAGGGTGATACATACACAATGTGTTGTGTGTTGAATCATGTGCATTTTTTAAAATATGAGATACACATGTTCAACACCACCATTCTATATTCTTAATAATTACTCTAGATATACACTTTTATAACAATACTGAGATTCAGCCAATTTTTACTGGTCTAACGAATTCTAATAATAATTGCTAAAGTATCGAGAAGCTTTTTATCCAAAACTTGTTGGAAGACTTGCCTACCCCACAGTATAAATATTTTAATGAGAAATAGAATCTTATTCACAAAATTTGTTTCAGGGTTGAATCAAAATGGCCGACTGGCAGCCACTTTGTTTTTTTAAATGTGGTATCGTATGCATGCTTTGTCAATTTTTGTTATATGTTTAAATTACATATCCACGAAAATTTGTTTTACATTCGGATTAAATATAGCCGACTGGTGGCCATCTTGCTTTTTGGTCATACAACTATATCACCAAGGCTTTTAGACCATTTTCATTCATTTTTGAGCGTACATCATCAATATAGAAATACATGTTCATATCAGTTTGTTCCATAATCAGACCAAAGATGGCCGACTGGCATCCATCTTGTTTTTGTTGCTTTCGGAGAATGTGGTTTCTTCGACAGGATTTGATAAAAACATTGTTTATGTTGGGATACATGTCCTTGGTGTTTTGGTTCGTGTTCGAATCCAAAATGACCAAATGGCAACCATCTTGTTTTTTTTCTAAATGTATTGTTGACATTTTTTTCTCTTCACATTATACATGTTATAATACATGGCAGTTTCATAATCACATCGAAGATGGTTGACTGCCTGTAATCTCGCTCTTTGACCATACTACTGTATCTCTACACTGTCCAGACAAAGGAAATTCAGTTTGGATACAAACAATGCACGAATAGCTTATACAGTATATTTTGATTTTGGAAAAGTAATTTATTACATCTAATTTCTGCTGATTCACTCTAAATTACTAACTATACTTTTGGTCCGCAACTTTATTTTTGGCATGATTAACATTTTCCTAACGAGGACTATTTCATTCACAATGATTTGTTAAATACGTAGGCTTGTGACTGCATGCCAGCACAGCCACCATACCAACAAAAGTTTCTCTTAGCTTGGAGTATTGTAAACACATATAAGTGACATATTATATCATAATAGTACACTACAATAAATCTATGTGTTTTAATCCAGCAGTACTCGTACATAAATATTATTTTCCCCAGTGGTGAATTGCTAGTCGCCAAAGAACTTTCTGTTCCAGTAAAAAATTTTCCCTCCCAAATCTGGCGTATACTACCGGCTGGAAAATTTCATTTCCACTGTCTGATTATTTATTATCAGAATCATTATACAGTGGGTTCTCGTCATAGCTCTGAATATAACGTTTTAACATCTCATTCAATGTAAGTACAACTGCTGGATGAGTAGCGATTAATACGAATAGATGTTTGTTGAGGCAACACAGACCAGACTTTGCATACAATCTCGTCTACTTACACTGTGGTGTCACGAGGCTTGCATTGCACACAAAATTGTGACCCTTGCCTTTATGCCTGCACAGATTACTGTACCCCTCCCCTCAACACGAAAATCAGTGTTCCATCCCCCCAAAACACCAACCTACCTAATCCTGTACTTTCTGTCCAGTCCCTTACATAAGGTTCACGTGTTTTTAGATAATATATGGTCTACAGTTGTTTTAATTTATATAGAGCAATAGGTGTATATACACAAGTGTGTTAAGTTAAATAGGGTCTGCAGTTGTGTCGAGTCATACCAAAAATACCAACCTGCAACTGATGTATCCTGATCAGCTGTAACTGGACCAATTAGAAACGGGGCATCTTTAGGATTCGAATCAATAATGGTGAAAATTATATTATTCGTTTGTCCGTCGGCATCTGTTGCTGTTATATTGGCAATTGTTTGAGACACTGTTGCATGTTCTCCAAGTGTGACATTGTATGGGGCATCAACGTATAAATAACGTGTTACTTGAAGTGTCAAAGTGCAAGTAAAAGGTGGATCTTCATTCGTCGTATCTTCTAACACTAGATCAACAATGTATTCGTGAATAGCGTCAAATCCTGGGGGAACCACTGCCACAAGTTGAGCTTCGTTTTCTCTAGAAGGAGCTGGATCTTTAATAATGCAAACAATATATAATGAAAATAAAACAACATGTTGTATACATATGATTATTTAACGTACAGTGAACAACTCATAACACTTATCTTACCCTGTATAAGCTTGAAAGGGTATGGGTCTGGTGACAAATCTGGAACTATAGCGCCAAGACTATACCAATATAATACATTTGTTCCTCCCCCTCTACCGTCGATTGGACTATATATGTCATCACCATCAGCTATTCCGTCGGCAATTTGAATTGTCTTCCCATCTCCCATATTGTGTAAGTGTATTGCTGAATTATGAAACATATAAACAATAATCAAATCAATTATCTATATGACGTGTTTATTAGACATGGTATTGAAAGTAATTCCACTTTCAAATTGAATAATAACTAGCAAACAGTCACATAACACAGAATACAGAGTTCGTATTCGCAGATATGGTGTCGCGTCTAGCCTAGCTGGAATCAAGATAATCAGGTAAATACTATGTCGTAAATTAGACAAATCAGGTGAATACCATGTTGTGAATTAGACAAATCAGGTGAATACTATGTCGTAATAGGATATGTTTTGTAAATTTGTATCAAAGGCAGGGGTTTCTTTAAAATTTGTTGCATGGGGTGTTTTTTCACCAAAATTTGGTCCCTCGCACACTCGTATATAAATAATATAATAATAATTAAGGTAGGGACTCACGTTCGTGGCCTCTCTTTCTTTCTGACTTACAATAACGCTCTTTGCGGGAACAGTTTGTATTTATATCATTAGATATGCGTTCATTATTGGTGACGTGAATAAAAGGTTGAGAAAATTCCCAACGATTGACCCGTTTTTCCCCTAAAAGACGCATTTGTTAGTTTTGTCACTCTAAGCCTTGTACCTTCAAAATGGCGGCCATTTTTATTTCTATATAAATACGCCCGTGTTAATTACGTTAATTGTAAAACAAGGAATGTCGATGAACTAAGATTGTGTGATTCAAGGCGAGGACATGATCGCGCTCCCTTGTTTTGAATTCAAGGCGAAGACACCGTGATCGCTTGATTCGGTGGTCTGTAAACACGATCTGACTGAATAAGAAGATTAGCAGAACACTATCTAATACTTGAAAATTAAAAGTGCCTATATATAAGATGAGTCCAGTGACAGCAACAATTAAGAGGAAGCAACATGATCACACAATAGACATTTTCTAAGATAAATTATAAAAGTAGGTATGTGCACTTACCATACGCTGCGTGTGCCATAATCAACAGAACGAGCCATTGCAACACTCCCTTCCACATGTCTGAACCGTTCACAGCAAATTTACTATAGCGTCAATGTTCCTCACACATCGGCCACCCATATATGATCAAGTAATGAGAAAGCTTAATATTTGTTGTCTGTCTGTCGCCTTAGTTCCCTGCGCGGTCGGGGCTGTTCTGCTTCTAGTTGATTATTGCGCACATCCACGCCCTTTGCCCTCACTGTTATCAAGCAATGGTGAGGAGTGTGTCGTCGTTTATTCTTTAAACACCATCACAAGTGTTGTGCGTAGCTATTAGCGGTCACTGAATAATGTGAACTTTAATCCGATTATGACCCTAATTAGTCTTGCATACAGTGTGTCTGTTTTATTTTTTTCACGTCATATTCAATTTTATTGAAAAGAACAGCAACAAACAAGTATGCAAGTCCAAAACATTATGTGAAACTATTTTAGGAACGACAGAGAAACTTCTCCATCACTAGTAGTTTTGAAATTGATTTTGACCAGTTCAATGCGTCTTCACATCGCTCGGGCATACATGTTGTGAAAATTCGAATATCATTTTGGGGGTAGTTATCCTATAATAATTACACTACTTTATCACATACATCTCACCTTTTCCGATTTTGATTCGCTTGTTAGCTGCGTATTTGCAGCGGTTTTCAAGTGATAATAAGTATTTTACTATAAGCTCACACAATTATTTTTGATATACTAATCCGAATGCAACACAATCTGAAGACAAACAATGAATAAGCTTCTGCCACGAATACAATAAATAATAGTGCTCTTGCACTGGGTGTGGCTGTCATAAGCAGTTATATTCTCATGTCATTCATAAGAGGCAATGGTGTGTACTGAGGAATTATCCTTCGGGTGTATATATTCGTGCGTATCTAATTTGGACCCAGATAAATAGGCCCTAAGCGTTAGTTGGTCATATTGTTATGATAGTGACTTCACGTTCGCACATTCAGTTCACACGTCGATAGACTATTGTTTAGAATCAACAACTTGCATGTTTAGGGTGGAGATTATAAACATAGATAGATAGATAGAATTTTTTATTTGGAACGTACCAATGAAAACTTGAGTAAAGTCCAAAAATAACAATAACAAAACAAAACATTCAGAACAACAAAAACTTTCAGTATTAATACATATCAAGAATATAGAAAATAAATTTTGCAAAAATGCTAAGAATGAAAAAATCATTACTTGAAACAATAATAGGAAATAATTCATCCATGCTAAAATCTTCCAGCTTTGGGGCATAGATGTATAAAGCTGCAAGGAATCTAGATCTTTGTTCTTTGATTTGACAATTATTACAATATAAAATGTAATGTTTCTCATCCCCTACTTCATTGCATTCATGGAGATTACATAGCCTGTTTTCCTTCAAAATGCCTTTATGTCTACCGGATTCAATGGGAAGAAAATGTGCAGAAGTTCTAAATTTAGTATAAGCTATTCTATGATTTTTATTTTTAATTTTTTCTAAATAATGTTCAAATTCAAAATTTTCTTTAGCACACCTGTAAAAGTCAAGCTTACAATTGTTCAACAAATTGTTTTTCCACTTCATACGGTACAAACATTTGAGCTTCTCTTTAAAATATCACAAAAAA